GGTTAGAGTCCGATGCGAGCTAGAAATGACCAATTGCTTTGCTGCTCATAATTCATATTCTCACTTTGGTATCGTTTTGGGAAGGGGGAGAATCAAGCATGAAAGTAGTGCAAAGCCGCCAGCAGGCAATTCACATTTCCCAACTTTGGAAAGCCTGAACGACGCTGCGTTATAATTTGCACTGCTAAGGCTGTGCTGAGTAATCTAATGCTAGTATGACTTGTGCATGGTAGTTTTAATGTAATGGTTATGCCTGATAATCCTACAAAAAGATGCGACTGCACTTATTTCGTACACGTGGAGAATCCAATAACTCTCCCTATTCTTATACTTTGTTCGGCTGTAATTCACAACTTGCTCTGTAGCTGGCAACTTTTTTCGATCAGTGCTACAATGCTTGGTACCAGCAGCATGCTAAGGATCTTGTCGCCCTTTTCATCTTCTAAAAGGACCAAAACCAGCTCAATAATTCTCCCAAGAAAAGGAACTTGGTAAGGTTTAACCATCGCAAGATATCACTACTTCTGCTCGAACGCTACCGCTCCTAGATTAATATGAGTTATTTTACAGATTAGAAGGAATTCCCCTTAAGTCTTCTAGTTATAACGATTTGAGTTACTGAGTTTAAAGTTGCCATGCCAAACTAATACAAATATATTGTAACTGTTGACGTCCGAGGTGGAAAAATGAAACATTCTAGAACCAGCTGGTTCATTCTAAATTAGTCACAATAAACTATCATGAATTAAACAAAAACTTAAACCATTATTAAACGAGCATTAAGATCCAGCAGTCTGACCACTCAGCGATGCATGACCGGCAAAAAAAAAAACTAGAAAAATCGCCGGAAAAATTGATAAAGAACTGCAGTGTGAATTAACAGCTGTTCCAGGTATTCCATAAAAAGGAAAATGTCAAAAGACTGGAAAGTGTTGGGTCAGGGATTCCAGGGATTTCTTTCGAACTGGCCATTGTCCACATTTCAAAGCCACTACTGCTGAAGAAAGCACTATTTCCTGTGAATCACAGCAGGCCTTCACTCATTCTCCCAAACGAATCTCGAAAATGCAGCAGCTATGGCAGCGTACACACCATCCAATGCATAGTGCTCAAAATACACGAGAGAAATATTGAGGTGAAAGTAAACTGAAGGACCGGGAAGGAGGGGGAGGAGGAAGGCGAGAAAAAAGCGTTGAGCCGCTAGCACTGATTTATTTTAAATTTGCTTAGCCTTCTTCAATTAGTGATAATAAAAACGAACCATCCTCGGCTATCACAGACGTACTCGATGAGTGTGTTGCTCACTCGTGTTAGAACACCTTCATAGGGCAGCATATAGCCACCATAAATTAATATAACTTCTTTTTTCTCCCGAATATACGAAACAAGTGAGTGACCGAAACGTCCTTGGATATGTGGCCCATTATCAGGAACAATGCTCCATCGTTTTGTACCTGTAAAAATCAGTTTCATAAAAAGTCGAGTACGAAACAGATCACAATCTATCAGTTTCCGATTTTCAAGAACAGTTACAGCTCACAAATCCGAATACTTAGCAACAGCGATCACGTCTTGCGTAGTTTCTAACTCCCCTCCCTTTGAAAGGAATCTGGGAGTTGCAAGCGACGGAATGCATTCTTCAGATCTACTTTAAATTCTAATATGACTGTGGTACAGACCAATTAAAAATCCACTTTTATCACAAAATCAGGAGCATCACTTACTGATTTTAAATTTTTGGATTGTATACATAAAGCCAAAATACGGACTGTGACCATAGAAGATAAGCATTTCATCGCCGATCAAATGAGCCGCATGGCCAGCAACAGCACTTGGGATTGCATCCGAGGCATTGTTACTGGCTGTTTCCAGTGTCCACTCCAACGTGCCCAGATCCAGACTCCACAATTCGTTTGTAACAATTCGCTCATCGATTACGCCTCCAAACATATACAACGTATTCTAAAAATAACAACAGTGCACGGAATCAGCAGAATCAAATCGATGTTCAGCCTTGATATCGGCGAACAAAAAAAAAAAAAGTTTGACAAAAAAAAAAAGTTCAAATTTTTTAACTCAGCTGTAGAGACTCAATTCTTACGTAAGGACAAGTCAAAGTTTGCCACTGGCACCGTGTCTAATTCAAGAATTAACTGAAAAAAGTAGCTGTGATTTCGAGAAAAACCCAAGTGGGGGCGGGACGCGTACACCTAAATTGAGTTCTGCATTGCAACTGCGGTGAATTTGACGTACGCGCTCTTAAGTAGACAAAAATGTCATCTGTTAGCAGATTCATCGGCAAACAGTCGTTTTTGCCCAGGCAGGATAACTCAGTACTTCGTCGGCGATTCTCATGTTCTTTCAATTTCTCATGAATAAGAAAGCCCTGTTCATAAAGTGGAGAATTTCATCCACTTTTTTTGCGCACTTTTTTCTTGGTATAATGAACTCATTTTCTGCACGCTAGGACAGCTCCTCTATCGTCGCAGGTGGTACTGCGTGTGGCCTTTTTTCTCGAACATAGCACTGTTATGCATCGTCCTTCTCTCGAAAACAGCGTGTCAATTTATGATATCGGTGAATTTCGCGGTGCAATAAGTGACGATCATGGAGGAACCGAACGAACTGTGTGCGTATTTGAC